CCTAAAATTCGCTGATTTCCTAGCCCCGTTGCTCAAGCGGAACTGTGAAATGCTATTTACTAACGAATCGCACAGCAAAACGGACGTTCTGAACTTTTGACGCCTCCTCCATCCTTACTTATTGTCCAAATATTTCATTCAGCAGAGTGTATGGACGTACGGCGTTGATACATTTCCACGTCGAAAGTTGGCACGCTGACTTAAAATAAACTTTGAGCCTTTGTGTTTCTCTCCATCGTCCGAACTCCCAAGTTTCATACAATGTACCGTTAATTTTGCCAAGTGTCTATGTGAAATATGTTGGTATTATAGTTGTTTGAAGAATTTATTTATTGTTTGGTTCGTAAATATATAGGAGAATAATGTGTGTTGTTGTGTATACGTAGGTGATTTATTGGCAATGTGTAAACTGGTTGACTTACCATTATTTGCCAGGTTACGTATGTACATAATAATATATGTGAAATTGTGTATCAAAAGGTTTCTATAATTATTTTGTTTTCGACAACTGTGGTGTAGTAAATAATAGTCACCTAATTTTGTGTCTAGTCTTGTGTGTTCGGGTGGTTTTATGGCCTAGATAGAATACCTGCTTGCCGTTAGGTACTTCTATATAGTCTGTAAAGTCTTCCTAAAAGTGAAAAGTCCATCGGTTGCTAAATATTCCTTCATAATTAATGTCTAGCTAAGTGTGTAGAGGCATATAGATAATAATTTTCCAGTATTATTAGTATATTATTATATAAGTTTCACGAATCAATATAATAGTATTGATTCGTGAAACTGTAAAAACAAAAAGTGTTTTAATGCATACCTAATATGGATGGTATTCTCGATATATTTTCATAAAATTCACTTGCAGTGTTGTTTAAAGTTTTAGTGTACCTTATGAATGCGTAGTTGGAACAAGATTCAGAATACGACATGACTTTTGCTAAATATTATGTAAGTTTCTGCTTTCTAAGTTGTGTTGAATTATTACGTGATGTATACGTTCGAAGAACGGCGCAAATCGAATTATCGACGTCGGTCGTATGTTTGCGAATATTTTGATGGCTCGGTACACGTTGATTTTGTAAACTCTTTGATGTTTCTTTTATCACTCGGCCTTGACTTTATTGGTCCCGAAGCTTTATAAATATGTGCAAAAACATACTGACATGTTTGTAAACAAACTGTTGGGTTATCAAATTGTTTACGTTACTTTGAACGTTTTGTCCAAAACATTCTAACTGTAGTTATAACAGTAATCAAATTATAGTATCAGTAGGTCTTAGAAGGGAGTGTCAGACTCTTACTGACTAAAAACCACCCCGTTCCTTCTCCTGCACGTCGAGGCTGAGCCCCGGTTACCTATTAGGTTCAGGCATTAAATGTTACGCTAGAAAAAACATCGTTGTTGAGACAGACGAATGTGGCTATTTTTGAAACCTACTATTGTGTACTTATTTATTCATCATTTAAGACATGAAAAAAAATATTATAAGAGACTTAACAATTAGATTTTTTAACACAAAATTCAAAGTTATAAACGACAAGATGTATTAAGAGTGTAGAATCCCGCAACGTTGCCGTTCTATAACAAAAGTTAGAATTAATGTGAACCATTACTGAGTCGGGGAGCAAATGCTGCACTTTTAAACTTAAATAATGACTAGAAATGTCAAATCTTTTATTTCTGACAAAAAGAATCCACATGCCAATGCAATGGCTCGCGCTGGGGACTTGATGACGTAGACAGTAAAACGAGTAAGTTTTTTCAAGTAACAAAATTGTATTAGTGGATATGTATTATGGGAACAAAAATTAATACCTACGAATTTTTCCATTTTCTCCATAAGAATCTAAGTTATCGGGATAGTCAAGTAGTTTTAGTAAAAGATAGACAG